AAAATTTACAATAAAATTAAAAAATAAGAAGAGGGGCCTGTCAACAAGAGCGGTTGAGCATTAAGCATAAGCTAGATTGGTTTCACCAATAAAGAGATATTGAAATCTCCGAAAGCCTTCGCAATAAAGAGATATTGAAATCTCGAAGCCTTCGAAAACCAATGCTTCCTTCCTCCTTACTCCTGAACAACTTGGTCCAAGAAGCCTAATGGATGCCAATAGATTTATCTCCATCTATTTTTCCACCAAAACTGATTCATAGCCTTTTCAATTGTGTCACAAATATTGAAAGGCAATAAAAATATTAACATTAGATAATTTAGTATCGCTTAAGCTACCATTTTTAGTAAGATTTCCTTCTCAACTCACTACAGTATCTTACGCTTCCAACCTTGTAACCTTTTCATGACCTTATCAATTTTATATAAAAACTTCCTTTTCGCTTTTGCCAATCACCAATGGTAAGCCCAAGTAGTTTGAGTAACATGATGCGTTACTAACACCAAGAAAATTACAAATAGTCTCATGCATACCTCGATCTGTATTAGCACTAAAATGAACCTCAGATTTACTAAAATTCACCTGTTGTCTCGAGGCTTGTTAATAAAGAGACAAACAATGTTTAATAATGAAAACTTTCGACACTTGTGCCCGAAAGAAATAATACGCAATAAAAGGTGCTCCTCGAGACACACTACAACCATGTAATTGACCAATTGCTTCAAACTTTGTCATTAAAACGGAAAGTGCTTTGGCTTAGATAATAAACAGATATGGTGATATGAGATCACCCTGGCGGAATCCCCTCTCCCGAATAATAGGCTCATACATCTTAACATTATGTATCACTGAGTACACTATAGTGGTAACCATTCTCATAACATTTTCAAACCATGGCACACAAAATCCCAACTTCAACAAGAATTGCTTTAAAAAAAGCCATTCGGCTATATCGTAGGCTTTAGACATATCTATTTTTGGAGCAACAGAACCTTGCTTACCTTATGTTTTTCTTTTCTAAAAGTGCATCACCTCATATGCCACCATTACGTTATCATAAATATAGCACCCAAGTATAAAAACACTTTGTCCTTTTGAAATAACACCGACTAAACAATGTTTCATTCGGTTAGCCGTGACCTTACTTACAATCTTATCAACAACGTTATATAATGAAAATAAGGATATTTTTGTCTTTTCTTATTGACCTAACGACTAAATTGACTAAAATAGAATCAAGAATTAATGTTATGACAAAAGTAAAATACGTGGTCTTCAAAAAATATTTATCGAAATGGAGGGATTTACTAGTTGTTTATTTTCCTTAGAATTTATTTGTTTCAAATAAGGGGGTTTAAAGTCAAAAATTTGGGTAATTTTTTATTTCCTTGGTTATTTGAGAAGGTTCAGCCACATCTTCCAAATGGGAACGGCAATAAAGACTTCTTTAGGCAAAGTAAGGAAATTATTACTATTTAGTATTTACAACATGAAATTTTTACAAAATGTTGAAATTTGAGTATATTATTTTGTAAGTCAGAAACTTTTTTTTTAAAAAAAAAAAATACTCGTTACAAAATACATAAAAACATTACAAAATATTAATAAAAAAAAGTTATAAATTTTACAATTCATCAACATTTTAAAAAAACAACTACTTTCTAGAAAATATTACAAAATAATAAAAAAAAGTTATAAATTTTACAATTCATCAACATTTTAAAAAAACAACTACTTTCTAGAAAATATTACAAAATAATGGTAACTAGAACTATTATTTTGTAATCTGATAATTTTATAAAAAAAAATCGTTTTACAGATTTCTTAGAAATTTATAAAATATTAGTAATTAGAGCTATTATTTTATATACCACCAAATAGTCACCATTTACTATATTAGGGTTAGACTTAGTAATAATTTAATATTAAATGTGTACAAACAAAACAACCCAAATTTCCACTTCTGCGTTCACTCTTGTTCACTCTCCTTTCCTCCTTCGGCTACTTTCCACCGTCCAAACATCAGCTTGCCCATCTTCTTTTGTATGCAAAGATTTGCTCATCACCCATTGACTGTGCCCTTATTATTGTAACGATACTTTTAGCACAGTACCTTGGCTAAATCTATTGGCGTCGAGGTGAAATTTCCTTCTGAATCTGAGTTAATTGAATCTCTTACTCTAGAAATTATATGTGCCCCATAACCACAGTAAAATATGGTGAAAGAACGGATAGTAATATTCTATTAGTGAGCGATACGATGATGCAATGTGTTGCTGATGTCATGATTATTAACTTTCAGGCCAATTTTATGTTAGCAACTGGTTACATGGCAAAAAGTCCATTAATTATCATCGAGTCAGCTGCCAAGTCATAAAAATTTGGTTCCACTAGTTTATCAATGAATCGAAGACACCCAATTGTAATATTTTACAAGTTTAGAAACTTAATCATTGTTGTTCTTCATTGAGACATCAAAATAGAAAAGACATAGAAATTTCAGATATTAATAGTTATACTATCCCTTAAAAAATTAATACCAGTGGAGTAATCTTAGCTCGCGGGTAAGAAAATGAATGCCTTTAGGAAGGAATACTTTGATTTCACTGAGGAATGAAGCAGAGAACTTGAGAAGCTTAAGATAATACATCCTCTAAAGGTTATTTAATAATATAATAGTTGAAAAAATAAAGGTAATTTAATTTTAATTAGTTATTAATCTTTCTATTTAAATATAAATTATTTAGTTAATATATTTAAATATAAAACTTTGTATGCAATTATGTTGTAGCAAAATATGATTAAAGTTTTTTATTTTAAATAATATATTATTTTATATACTATTTATATTTAAATATTATAAGAGGGGCTGTCACAAGAGCGGTTGGTATATTTAAATATTATAAGAGGGGCTGTCACAAGAGCGGTTGGAGCATTAAGCATATGCTAGCATTGGTTCACCAATAAAGAGATATTGAAATCTTGAAACCTTCGAAAACCAACGCTTCTTTCCTCCTTACTCCTTAACAACTTGGTCCAAGAAGCCTAATGGATGCCAATAGATGTATCTCCATTGCTATTTTTCCACCAAAACTGATTCATAGCCTTTTCAATTGTGTCACAAATATTGAAAGGCAATAAAAATACTAACATTAGATAATTTAGTATCGCTTAAGCTACCATTTTTAGTAAGATTTCCTTTTCGACTCACAATAATATCTTGCACTTCCAATCTTGTAACCTTTTCATGCCCTTATCAATTTTATATAAAAACTTCCTTTTTGCTTTTGCCAATCACCAATGGCAAGCCCAAATAGTTTGAGTAACATGATGCTTTACTAACACCAAGTAAATTACAAATAGTCTCATGCATACCTCAATCTGTATTAGCACTAAAATGAACCTCAGATTTACTAAAATTCACCTGTTGTCTCGAGGCCTGTTAATAGAGAGACAAACAATGTTTAATAATGAAAGCTTTTGACACTTGTGCTCGAAAGAGATAATACGCATCATCCGCAAATAATAGATGTGCAATAAAAGGTGCTCCTCGAGACACACTACAGCCATGTAATTGACGGCTTGCTTCAAACTTTGTCATTAAAACGGAAAGTGCCTTGGCATAGATAATAAACAGATATAGTGATATGAGATCACCCTGGTGGAATCCTCTCTCTGGAATAATAGACTCATATATCTTACCATTATGTATCACCGAGTACACTGCAGTGGTAACCATTCTATAACATTTTCAACCCATGGCACACAAAAACCCAACTTCAACAATAATTGCTTTAAAAAAAGCCATTCGGCTATATCGTAGGCTTTAGATATATCTATTTTTGGAGCAACAAAACCTTGCTTACCTTATGTTTTTCTTTTCTAAAAGTGTATCACCTCATATGCCACCATTACGTTATCATAAATATAGCACCCAGGTATAAAAATACTTTGTCTTTTTGAAATAACACTTACCAAACAATGTTTCATTCGGTTACCCACGGCCTTAGTTGCCTTACTTACAATCTTATCAACAACGTTACATAATGAATTGATTCTCGAATCAGAAACACATACACATGTCCAGTGTAATATTTAAGATGAGAGAAAAAAAATATATTAAAGCGAGAAAAGTATGTTATTTGTTTTTATTGTTTATGTATGGTATTTAATTTCTGGGCTTTGATGGATAAATTTTGTGCTATATACAGGAAGGCACATCAATGGCCTTTTTTGTGCTATATACAGGAAGGCACATCAAAATGGCCTTAAGAAAAACACTGGAGGAGGAAGCCCGTGATCTTAGGTGGAGAAGCTTTTTCCCCGTTTCCATGGTCATCAGTTATACTTATTATGAAAAGATTTTTCGGAAAGTCTGCTAGAAAGTAAACGAAAGTTGCCTGAGAATTGGAAGCCTTTAAGAGCCATTGACGAGTTTGATAGATGTTGGCACTTGGCGAGAATGCCTCTAACTAAAGTCTCTAAATTTTCTATTTATATGCGGAATGTGTTTGAAGTAAAACGAGATCGTGATGTGTTGACCCTTGCTAGTAGGGTTCTTGGCCATTTGGCTAGGGCTGGAGGGGCAATGACTGCAGATGAAGTGGAATTTCAGGTTCATTCTAGCTTTGTTTAATTGTTAGTATTTCTCTTGCTTTGCATCACCTTACATTTCTTTTTTTGTCATAGGTGAAAATGGCACTAGGCTGGCTTCGCAATGATAGAGAAGAATATCGTCTATTTTCCCTCACAAATTATTGGAAAAAACATTTCTTTTTTTTTTTTTCCCCTTGTTACTAGTGTTTAGTTGGAAGACTAACTAGTTTTAGGTTGGTAAAACTAAAATTGTTTAGTTCGGAAACTCAGTTTGTCTTTTGGTCAACATTTTTCTTTCGATTTTCAGTAAATATCTTCATGGTCGAGAACATAATACTCTGGCATTTTGACCATGGCAGGAAAAAATGGCAGAAATGCTTCCCAACAGTATTCATGTTCATAGTACCTGAATTTGTCGACGCTATCTGGGGTTGCATTGAGGCATCCAACACCTGGAGGTTTAGGAGAGCGAGCTGTTGAGCGCATTGCGTGCTTGCCTTCGAGTTATTGAAAAGCGTGAGACACGTTGGCGTGTGCAATGGTTAGTACAGTTATGAAATATTTCAATTTATGAAAGTAAATATACTTGGCATCAAGAAGTTCTACTTGGGCGATTGCTTGACCTGTCCTAATTCACCTGGCCACTCATTTGGGGAAAAAAAAAAACAAAAATAAGAGAGCTCCGGAAGCTATTTGAGATGTTTGAAGGATGCAATTGGTAGAAGAGAAGAACTCTCATAGTTTTCCTGTTTAACAATTTACACTCATTGCACTTTGCATTTGGCGGCTGAAAAGTTGAGAAGTTATCCAGGAGAGGTTCATTTAGAAGCAGGATAATGAATTTAAATACCATTTGGTCAAAATAGACGTGTTTGCTTTTTCACTGTTGAAAGCTGAGTTAGGGATCAAGACTCAAGAGTCTTATGGTTGGGAAGATTCTTTTTTGACATTTTCTAGGTTTGTCTTATTGTCCTATATAGATCCCATGCTTTGGCTGGTAAATTTGATGCATTGATGATGGAGGTTAAACTGGGAAGAGGTAGATCTAGAACCATATGGAAGGAAGTTGTCTCAAAAGATTTATTATTTCTTGACGTTAATGGGACTTGGATATGAATAGAATGGAATAGAAACAAAGGAATCATATAACCGACTCCAACTAATTTGGGATTAAGGTTTAGTTGTTGTAAAGATGAGGAATATTTGGACCTATAAGGACACCAAATTTCCAATTTATAGTGAATACAAGATATTACACAACAAAAGGTAAATTCTGGTGGTTATTAGTGATGAATAGTCTCTAGAATTGTGCGTACATGAAATAGCGTTCTTAGGAATTAGTTCAATGATTGGACGTTATAGGCTTTTATGTTCTCGATAGCTTTTATGTTCTCCGGGTTGTTGCTCTGGTACCAAATGTTGCTGAGGTTAATCTAGTAATGATCATTGATCTTGAAAGAGAGGTCTAATAAAAAAAAATATGGAGAATAATTGGCCATGAGGCCCATGACAAGATAACTTAAAGTTAAGAAATGAAGGTTGTGGATTTTTGGTTCAAGCGATGAAAGAAGCCTGTGTCTGAAATTCTTGGTCAATTGGAAAAGATTCTTGACAGACTTTGTGCTAGTTGTTTGTTACTTTCTTTTGATTATACCACCAAAAATTGATAAGAAGCTCTTTAATCTTGGCCCTCCTGAATGGGTGAAAACAGAAAGAGGTCGGTAAGAGCGACAAGCTCAGGAAAAAAAATCCTTATTTTAGGTTGGAAACTGGACATATTTGCTTGAAGGTCGGTATATGTAGTATATTCTGATAAAGCAAAAATTGTTCCTGCTGGCGATTTTGGATTGGGCTTCTCCTTGCTGGTCCTTCGTTATGTAGTAAAAAGAGTGTTTCCTACATGGGATTTGAGTGAAAAACTTGGTTGCTGCATGCTTGTGGATTTTACTTTTCCAGGGCTTCACGTTCTGAGATGCCATTTATCTTGAGGGACAAGAGTAAAATCTTAGGATATTCTTTTCTTTTGAAAGAAAAATTAATATGCTTTTCTTTTGAAAGAAAATTATGCTCTATTGAGTAATAAATGCTGTTTCGTTTTGCTTTTGAACAGGTACTATCGTATGTTCGAGGCCACACAGGATGGCTTGGGTAAAAATGCCCCTGTTCACAGTATACATGGCTCTTTACTTGCAGTTGGAGAGCTTATGAGGTCAGATAATACGCTTCATTTCTTTTTCTGAAACAGCTTTTGACCTTTTGCTTATGGACTAATTTAATTTTTGGTATAAGAACATTTGTGTTGAGAAATTTATTCCAGTTTTTGAGGTCAGTTTGTCTCAATTTTATTCATTTCAAGTTTTTTAAAATGTTGTTGAGAGTTGGGAATTCGTCCTAGTCATTTAGGGGCTGGGAAATTGAGAGGCATACGGGAACAATAACCACTATTGGTCTTTATGGGTTCTTAGACAGATTGTTCAGGGTCTTGTTAATCATGGCTTCAAGAACTAAACAAAATGTTCTATATCAAGTGGACTGCAACATAACCTTCTGATGTGCTCTGCATGTGTTAGTTATGATTTGAAGTAGGGAGAGAGAGAGAGAGAGCAAGCTCTGTCTTTTAGTCTTTCTATTTATTGAAAAGAATTTTCTGTCCTTTGTATTATTCTTGATGTTGCTTGAGTGGATGTTCAATTATGATTTGGCATTTTGTGGAGGAAACCTAATGGAGTTGAGAGTTAATTGTGTGTTTAGAGATTTGGAGTAGTTGGGCCATAGAGAGTATGCTTTGTTTGTAGTGTTAAGAGATTTGGTAGTTGCCTGAGGAAGTATGCTTTTGAGGAATTCTACCATTTGATGCTCAATTTACTTGGTTAATTTCCAATGAGCTTCATTTGATGCTCAACTATAAATGGATTTTTTTTTGTTTTAGTGATTTGGAGGATGCTCTGGAGTTACTATTTTGACTTGTGTTTGATAAATTCTTATCACATGACGGGCTCATACTTCTCTGGTTTGAGAATGTGGTTTTTTTTCATCTTGTTTTTGACAGACTGATGGAGGAATGGTGGGAATGATGCTGAATGAAAGGTTGACAAGACTTTATGCTTGTGAAATTTAGATTTCTAAAAGTAATTTTGGAGGAAATAAAGAAGTATGGATATCCTTCAGCAAATTGATTAGTTGAATATATTGGAGGAAATAGGATGTAACCAGAAGCTGTTGATTTTCTTTTTTTAGGATATTTTTAGGATTTTCAACAGTGTGTTGTTTTTTTTTTTTTTTAATTTTTTCCTGGTTGAAATTTAAACTAGATAAAAATGTTATACTATGTTGCACAGAAACCGAAACGTGGAAGTGTGGAAACGTGGGGAAAATGCGTAAATATGAAAAGTATAGGTGTGGAAACGTGGGGAAAATGCGTAAATATGAAAAGTATAGGGTTTTATTTATAAAATACAAAAAAATAAATTATTATAAATCATTAAATATATTCAATAACAAGTCAAGTCCAATCAATATTTAATGATATCCAAAAGAATTACAAGTTTCATACTCATAAAAAATATATGTTTTATGAATCTGTATTTATTTATGTATTTATTTTAATTAAGAAATAAGCTTTTGAGTTTATGGAAACATATTTCGAGAGCGGAAAAGCGTTTCCAAATTATTCAATTTACAGAAATGGCCCCGAAACGTTTCCGTGCAAGAATCATTTCTGAAACATAGATGTTTTATGTAGTATTCTTTTTGATTGCCCTGTCTAGGGTGTTCCTTCCTTTTCTTCCTTTTTTTTGCTCCCATGAGAGTTCCTTTATCCTTACGTCTGTTAGATGTGCAAGAAAAGAAAGAGCTCTTACTTGAAAAGCAATTAGAGCAATCAATCTGGATAAGAGAACATACAGAGAAAGAAAGAAAGTTTCTAAACTCGTTTATAGAGATGGAAATTATAAGTGCTGTAAATGGGAGAATTCTAGCTCTATTTGGGCATTTGTTTGTTTTATAAATTAAGAGGAAAAAAGTAACAGTAGAGTCTTTCCTGAATAACTTTAAAAAGATGAAATGCTGAAAGGTACGTAAAAAAAGAAATATTGCCTACCTGAGATGGCTGTGAACACAGAAGTATAATTGGTTTGGATGCTGGTGTTGCTGGTTTCGCTCTTGCTGTATTGCTCTTTGCAGGTAATTTTTAGTGATTTAGCATTTGTAATTATCAATCAATCCAAAACGACGTGAGAAATGAACAAACTATCAATGCATCAGTTCAATGTGCTATCTTTTTTTACTTACACCACCTGCAACAATTAGTTAGTTTCGATAATATGGGTGGACGCGGGGTGGCATGATTGAGAGAGACTTTTTAAATGTCATTGACAAATAAAAATATATATATAAAAATAAGTTTAATACATTTACTTGACAACTGATTGAAACATTTGTAAAGCACTTACGAGTACATACCTACGTAAAAAAAAAAATTGAGCCAAAGGGACAATTCTTAACTGGTGTGGGGTGTGGAGGTGGGTGTCAATTTCAACTGGAATTTTACTTACAAGCTATAGCATTATAAAAAATAAGATAGGATAAATTAAAATAGTTGCTTACAGCTTAGTTGAGTTCCTCGCAAAATACTTGGGCTTCGCCCGGCCTCCCCTAATATCCACCGCGACTTACAACATCCTCAAACCTCTATATCGTTTCTCTTTTTCTTCATCCTCACCTCGTCCTCCACCTACCACATTCACTAAAGCTAAGGTGAGGAATGGGACCGCCACACTTAACAAGTCGCGTAAACTTAACAATCGCGTTGTAATTGCGACGAAATTCCTCATCTAGAGCGTAGAATTCAAAGACTGTCTTCTTGTTATCTAAAGGGAGCTCAATTCTCTCACTCCAAAAGACCACATGTTCTGAATGAAGGACCAAACCATCGCTTGACTGTGGACAAAAAAATTCATAACGCCGAGGTAAATCCTTAACCTCGAGATAACCTAGTTCTTTCACAGTCTCGTTCTTGAAAATATAGACTGTGTAACCAATACTTGATACACGATGCCAAACAGGGTCCAAAAACTTTGGATCTATAACAACGCAGAGACCAAATTGCACCCTCTCGTGTTGTTTGGATGATGAAGACAAAGTCACAGAATATCCACAGTTATTTTGATACATCATCAGTATATTTTGTTACATCATACGTTTGTGGCAGCTCATTCCAAGGGTTTAACAAAAATCTTTCTGTACAAGAGATATCCACGTTTATTTTGATAAAACCTACAGAGAAACAGACAATTAGTCGAACGTATATTACTCTATAACTTAATAAATATATATACTAGAATATATAGCAGATGAAGAGGGAGAAAGGCATACCTTTCTATTCGCCAGAGGTGTGGCTAGTAAATGATCCACAAATTCATTACACTTACCCAAATCCAAATTGAAGCAATTAGCAAATGTAAATGTAACAATGTTGTCTAGTTGGAATAAGCTGGATGCTGATTTCAGACTAGTGCAATTATCTCCGTATATATTATATAATTTCGAGAGAGATGGAAGCTCACTTGGTAAATATTTTAGTCTCTTACATTGTCTAAAACTCAAAGTACTCAGCTTAGATAGTTGTTTGATGCAATCAGGTATGCTCTCGAAATTATTCCCACCTATAACTAACACTTCCAGTGATGAATCTGAATGGCAGACAGCTAGGAAATTCTGATAGGCCACAAGATTCTAGCCTTATTTTCCTCAGTTGTCTCAACAGATTGACAGAAGACGGTAGTCAGTTGTATCAAAACGATGGACAGAAAGACGGTAGTCACTTTGATATGAGTACCTTTCAAGATCAAGCCTCTTAGAGATATCCAAAATTCCCTTATGTTTTTCTTGCAATCCTCTTTTAGATTTACACATGCCTACTGAGATAAAGTACATTAGAGACTTCAGATATGCAAAATGCTTGATCGGAGACTTTCAAGCATTGTAACGGGAGACTTTCAAGCATTGTACAATCACTCAAGTCAAGTGAGGAAAGACGAGAGAGAGACCCAATTGATGGGGGCACCTTTTCTATTCTAGTTCGTTGCAAAACTAGCTCCTCTACGTTACACGGCAACTCTGGAAACTCTGCAAGTTTTAAGCATTCAGAGGCCCAAAATTCCTTGAGACTTTTCAAATCAAGGAAGCTTGGTAAAGTGCAAAGACTATTGCAATTCGTTAGATGCAATCGAGTAAGCTTGTTCAAATATTTTGGAGAGGGAAACTCAACCAAACTTTCACAGTAACTCAGATCTAAAAACTCAAGTTTCGTGGCTTTGGACAAGTCTGGAATTCTTATTAGCTCCTTAGAGTGACTGAGATCGATGAATTTCAAATTTCCCAGTTGCTGTAATGAAAAAGAAGTGTAAGAATAAAATCATATATCTAAGGTTCACAAAAACTACCTGCAAAGAAGCATTCTAAATTTTTTCTTTAAAAAAATTTTCTTTTAACCTTTGAAAAAACTTCCAATGAGAAGATTTTTTTTTAGTTTGCTTTCCTTCGATGCAAAAGTTCAACCAGATTCCTCTACATAAGAACACCCAGCGGCAAAGTTTTAAAGGGGATTTGATCACCCGATGAGGTAACCTTAGTTTCTGCCATAAATTGAGGCCTTTAGGAAATTACATGATTTTACTGAGTTGATAGCATAGGAAGATTGAGAAAACTTGAAGATGCTATACATTTTCTCAAAGGCTGTTAATGTTTTAAATTGGAGGCTTTTCTTTCGGCCAGATAGTAGACATGTACCAAAGTGATATTGGCCTTTTTAATTGGTTTCGTCCCCTTGAAAACAAAACAGCCAAAAAGAATTTAAGTGGCAAAAAAGAAGATCGGAAAAGCGGTCATTAGAATTGAAGTTTTTTTTCTTAAAAAAGTCAGTAACGTTTTTATAAAGCTCAAAAATAGATAGATAACAAATAATTATTACTCAGAATAATATTGATTCTTGCCTTCAGCTTCTTGTAAAACGTAATATATATCCATTGTATTCCCACAGCCAGCCCGACGCTTTCCAACTGTTTTCCTCCGCGAACCAAAATTATCCTTGCCAATTTTGCAATGTAGCAAGTCTCCCATGCACATGTTAACCTCATTCATTGGTGATGGTGATGGAGATCTAATCACGAGACGAACTCTATTCCAAAGTAAGTTTTAACAGGGAAGTCAAGTAGAATTTCCAGACGCCGATGTTTAATCCTCCTCCTTTAAACATTGCATGCAGAAGTTAGCAAGAAGATTTCCTGTTAAATCTCTCACGTATTCCATCATAACTTATCTCTCTCATATTGCGCTTGATAATTATTTCATCAGATACACCTTTTAAATTGTTCCAATTTCATCTACCATTACTCCTTCACTGCCTCTGCCCACTACAATATGACCTAAAACCTTGAGAGCCAAGTGCCAAATGCCCGAGCAAATGAATCCAATTGCTATATTGGGGACAACTTCAAAAATCCTCCTCCTTGGATTGATTGCTTGAAGGGCAATGGTTTGCAAAAAGGCAGAGGCTGTCACTTTTATTTAATTCTTTCAACTTCATTTATTTGTTGCACCACAGTTTTTCTTAAGCCATCTGTACATATCTCTGCTTGTATAGATATATTCTTATCCCTTGACATAATCAGCGCATTCTTTCGAGTTAAAAGACTTCTAACTTGCCTGCCACTAAATCATTCCACATCATCAAGAACTATGAGAAACTTTATTTGGTATGAGAGCGCCTTACGGTCTAATTGAAAAAGAGACACTGTACTGATGAATTACAATTTGAATTCTATCTGCTCTACAAGAATCAGAAAGAATTTCGCTTTTCTTAACATCACACAATGTGATTTTTCTATATCTTTCCTTAATCATTGCAACAAACTCGGCTTGTAAAATGAAACAGAAATTCTATCAAACACATTGTTCTAGCAATGGGTAGTGTTTGCGAATACCGCCCAATCCCCAAAATTACTTACACTTTTTATTCGTTTTCATTCTAGGCAGACCACAAGGCATAACAACGGATCAACAATCTTGGACTCCCTGTAGAATCAATTCCAACTAAACCATTCATTCATAGCATCAGTTTTGGATACACCAATATATTAGTTTCTTCAAAGTATAGCGGACAGATTTTCCTCAATAACTTCGGAGTCAGACCTGGTTGTTATAATACATGGAACGATACGACCAATGAGCCCACTAAAAATATAAAAAAAAATAGAGTAAACCAGATTTATAAAGAAATACTTAACTAGGTTATAACAGCTTAAAAATAAAATCGGAATCATAACTATAAACATAAAATAAAGATAAGAACAAGGTGCACAATATGTACTTACTTAATCGTTTGTGAAACCCAATCCTGTCATTTATTGAAATTTCTTCTTAACAGAGTGGCACAAACTATCAACCCTCGTGCAAAACTACTCCAGTCTTACTACTATGACTTAGCTTATGGCATCACCCAAATTTCCCTTGTACGATTTTAGAACGATGGCTATGGACTCTACTCTGGTAAAGAAACTGGTAAGACCATTCTGCTTCCATTTGTTCTTGTTTTGCACATCAAAGTATTCTTCACAAAGCGTGCATCAAACCACCAGAGGCGAGACCCATAATGCATAAAATTTTCCGAGAAAGCATTGACCACTGAGATATATGATTTCATTCAAATTATTGTCAAGAAGCTGAAGAGATGTCTTCACCCCTGTCAAGTGTTTTATCATTCCACAAAAGCACTAATTTCATTTTGCTCAAAAGCGTTATGGAGGTGACTGAGAAATACATCCCGGACCATCCCTTACCCTCTTAAAATTAAACGAACACATTCGGTACTGCCTTTCTCCAGTTTCTTCGTGAGGGAAG